TGCTGCAACGCAAGACTCCTACACTAGGATGCACCTGCCACCTGATGAGTAAGCTTATCTCTTGTTTGTTTTAGTTGAGGTTTTACGGCGCTCACAACTGCATAAGGCTGTCCCCGTGGTTTTATGTGGCAAAAAAATATGAAATTATGCAAATTGAGCCCAAAAATGTGAAATTATGCGATTCTGTTAATTTTAACAAAGAATGGTGAAGGAAAATAATCAGAAATAATGCCAAAAATGATCAAATTTAGCTCAGTTATGTGGGGTGCATAAAACCACGGGGATAGATAAGGTCATATGAGTGGATGTCAACTGAGAAGTCCTTACAGGAAGTCAGCTTACTCTACTCACCTCTCTAGCATCAACAGCACAGAATCTGCTTCGACTATCAAGGCTCCCCAGAAATAGCGTGTCACAAGAGTGTGACAAATATACACAAAAGTAGAGGGAAAATTACGATAGTAAGGACTAGGAAAGAAAAAGCAGCAGGTCCCTGTTGCAGTTCAGGCACAGTTGTGAGCATGACATTGATGAATCAGCTAATTTACAAATACAATTCTACTGTGCATAAGAACTTGGTTAATGTCCCCCCTTTGGGAATGGCTTAAAGGCACTTCAGTCAGCAGCACCACCCCGCGAGGTAGGCTTATATCTGACTTCTTTCTTGCACCCCCCCCCCCCCCCCCCCCCCAATCCCCGGTTTTTTTCATCTCATCTTTATCTAACCCCTCTTCCCCTTTTTTCTGTTGGTTCCTGTAAATTATTTTCCTTCTTACCCCCCAGTCTTTTTTTTTGGACACCTAGAGATAAAGATTGTCACTTTAGGATCCTTTGATGAAATTGCGGTCGACTCGAAATGAGTACCTATGTAGTTGGTACGGGTAGTATCCGTCCATACTATGGCTGGTTCTTTCTTTTCGTGTGCTCTTCGTATGCATCCCTTGACATGATATTTCAAACTGTGTATTCCTCAAACAACATTGCAATTTGTGATGTTTCGTACATGTTCAGTTTCTTTCTTCTTTTTTTTTCTTTCTTTCCTTTTTACTTTACTTTTCTTTTCTTTCTTTGTTTGTTTCTTTCTTTCTCTATTTCCTTCTTTCTTTCTCTCAATTCACCTGAGCAATGAAAGAGTGTTGAGTCACTATAACCGTTTTAAAAGGCACTCTCACTATACGAGTATAGATTTGGGAAGGACGGAGGAGATACATTATTATATTAGGCCAATATATACGCTATATAATACAGTACAACACGGATAGCTCGAATTCGTCGGGACCGGCCTCGGTAGTTTAAGGGATCCATAGTTCGAGGGATACGTGAACAATGTTAGTGGCATCGGTTGGGTCAGAGAATCAAGGGAAGCAACAAAGATTGTCACTTTAGGATCCTTTTATGAAATTGCGGTCGACTCGAAATGAGTACCTATGTAGTTGGTACGGGTAGTATCCGTCCATTTCCCTTCCTCTACCGGGGCCAGCGATGAGCGTGATAGTGATGGGGAACAGTAGAGAAGTGGACTGGAAGTGTTTGCCTTTGTTATGCTTTATTTCTAGTTGAAGTTAAAGCCATGGTGAGATGAAAAAATGGAGTGCTCCATGGTGTGTGTGTGTGTGTGTGTGTGTGTGTGTGTGTGTGTGTGTGTGTGTGTGTGTGTGTGTGTGTGCTCGCGCACGCGCATATCAAGCAGCGCGCTAAAAAATATCACAGCTAGCTACTTCTGTGGAGGGGGAAGATGGTATGTCTTTTTCCGTTAAAAAAAAAATACATGTGTTATTCTTTTGTCTCAAGTGCACCCTAAAGGATGTTGACTTGAGACCTCTACGGCGACGTAATTAATTCGACTATCCCGTGTTTGTGTTCGAGTATCGCATAATTTTCTTACGAAGATAAAGAAGGGGAAAAAACTGGACCGCAGGCACAGTTCGACGGATACGTAATTCCGATTCTTCTGTGTTTGACTTATCCGTGTTATACTGTATAATTATATGTTATATAGCTATTTAACATTATTGTCAGACCAGTCAATGCAGTGCCCCTACCTCCTTGCCCAGGTAATTGAATTGAAGTAGTTTTCTTCATTGATGCCCAGGGTTTGGAAGACTATTAATTGTCATTGTCATACTTGAAAACTCCTTCATAGCGGTTCACAGCTCAGCATTATTATATTGGCAGATCTTAATTATAAGATCTGGAGTCGGTAACTTTGAAGAAAGACACATCAGAGATAAAGAAGAGAAATGTTAGCTGAGAAAAGACTGAGAGAACCTCACCTCCCAGCCTAGTTTAGCCCCGCACACCCCATACCCTCACCACAGTAGACATTTCCGGGCAAAGATGGCCCTGATCAGCCATCTCCCCCACGCATCTCACCCCCCAGTGATGTGAAGTCAAGGTCATCTTTCCCTGCAAAGGACAAACATCATGTTGGTGCAGGATCAAACGCTTTGATTTTGAATGAGGTCAATTGTTTCTGTCATACAAGAGCTTCTTATGTTTAGTTTTATCAGAGTTTTACGGCACTTACAACACAATAAAGTCATGTAAGTGCCGAAGGATAGATTATGTGTTACAAGAAAGTAACATACACAAAAAAGGAGGAGGAGAGATAAGGACAGATGTTTGATAGGAAAGAAGGAGCAAACCACACCACAGCACCCACCAACCACCCACGCTCCTAATGTGAAACGAACTGGATTTACTCAGCATATCATGGAAATTATAGACTCCCACGGAAAATAATGCAACACACAAACTGATCTTACTAGTGTCCTGGTCATCTTTATACACAGTTGGGACAATCTTGACCAAAGACTGATGTGGAATAACATCTATAATAAGTGGTTGAAGACAGGTAGGCCTACATAAATACTACAAGAAACTTTCTTTCGTTGTACTTCCATGCTAAATACTGAATTCGTTCTGTCAACAAAAATGGAACATTTGATCCTGAAAAAAAGATACTCGCCCAAGATTTACAACATATTAATTGAAGAAACGGCAAGACAAATTGAATCCCACAAAGGTTCGAGCCACAGATTTTGATATGTGTGTAAATAATAGATGTTAATCAATTGTTCCACAGCGGCTAAGAGACAGTTTAATTTAAAGGACAACAACAAAGCTTTAGGCAATATATATAAAGTGAAACTGGAAAAACACACCCTATAAAATAAAATAAACTTTATTTCCTCAAATGCATAATTCTAAGCAGACATGATCAGCTGGCAAGGAGAATGATGATAAGAATAAGTGCAAGCACCTCGCGACCTCCGTGCTTTCTTGTTGTATCTCCATATTTTTATACAGTGAAAATATGGCATTACTCTTTGTTATGAACTGTTTTTACTGCTATCAAAAAAGGAGATACGACAAGACAGCACTGGGGTCGCGACTTATTCAGTACATTAAAAGTACAATCATCAGAACATACAGATGTTATAAGAGAACACATACATACCACCACAAAATTTACCAACACCGATCGATGCACACACTCAAACACATACTCACACGTAACGTAATTGCATCCACTCACTCTACCGACCATTACAAACTTGAACAACCCCCAAAAGAACAGTTACATCCAATTAGCAGTCTTTGATTTTGACCAAACAATCACACAGCTAACAGAAAATATTCACTGCAAACTGTCATACATTCGGGCACAGACAACACACAACATGGAAAACTTTAAATTACAAATCGCTCATACAATTTGCCATACCCCTACTTATGGGTGTACCCAATGCATTTGTCAAGTCACAAGACATGTCTGAGTAATCTGTGCTTGACTGTACTTATATATATATATATATATATATGATGTCTAATACGTTGCAGATTCTTTTTATGAATTTGAGGCCAAATTAGAAAATTTGATTGAATCTTTAGCTCGAACCAGTGACTTGAAAATGCTTCCTTAGAGTTAAATATTTTTCCCTGATGCTGTCCACCAAAAAATTCAATCACATTTTGTGTTTTTGAAAAATCTGATGGACAAAAATGACAACATTTGAAAGTGGGCTATTAATTTACCCCTTAAAACCTTTTTGATGTTCTACTGAAAAGTCGTAGAATTACCATAATATGTTCCACATCTTGACCTGCTACAGTGAAGTCTATTTACACAGAACATGGTTAATCTAAAAACAGCAGCAAACCAAAAGAAAAGAAAATCCCTGATATATTTCTTCTTTGTAACAAAACTATTGATTAGCCAAAATGCTCCCACTTTACTTTTAAACCGAAAAGAATTTCGAAGGTTGCATTGTCTAAATCTTTCCTAGCAACCCTCAAGAATAAAGGCACTAGGCTTCAGCAACAGTAGATCCAGCTGAGACAGTTCAGCAAACCTGAGAAAACCATTCAATTAATAATAATAATAATAATAGATAGCATTTGTATAGCGCACATCCCCGCTCAGCAGCAGGCTCTATGCGCTTTACACTATATTATTACCCCAGCAGACCATAGAACACTCCGAAACATTCTCAGCTTCCCGGGAAGCATACAGTGCGAGCAGCCGATTTAAGCGCTCAAACACTAACAAACTGACAAGATCGTTCGCTGTCTATAGCCGGGTACCCATTCCCACCTGGGTGAAGTGAGAAAAATTCGTGTAAAGTGCCTTTCCCAAGGACACAACGTCGGGCCCTTGACGGGATTCGAACCCACGACCTTACGGTTGCGAGTCCGAGAGCCTAACCACTAGGCCACCTACGCCACAATTACCTGCAACCCCCCCCCCCCCCCCCACAATGATGTTGTGTATAAGAAACAGAATATTTGTCTCCAACACAAAAATTACAAACTGCAAGAATTAAAATTGAATTACTTTCACTGATAACAAACAATAAATCTGATACAGGTTCCAGTTTCTTCTCTGAAAAAACCTCAGTCGGTTTAAAGGGAAGGTTAATCTCAATATCTAACAAAAGTAAACAATTTATTTTTTAAGTTTATATGTTTACAAGGAGTATTGTACTTCAATATTTGTTGGGGGGGGGGGGGGGACCTAATCAATAAAACATAAGAGAAAAGAAGTTATAACAATAGTCACAGTCAAAATTTAACATGCCCTTTACCCGTTACCAATAAATTCCTGTGGCCATTTCCGTTGTTTCGAGTGGGAACAAAAATATTAAAGAGTTCCAGTAGTCTAAATTCCGATAATAAAAGTTAAATAGAGTTGCACCCGAGCCTAAAAAAATTATTATTTTATTGATAAATGAATAAACAATATAAAAAGTATAGATCTATCCATAAAGTAGACAGGAGCACTCTCATGCTCTTTTTAGGTCAAAAGTCTACATTAGGATAAAACCTTTTTTCTTTCACTTTGAGAATCTAGGTATACATAACACTACAACTGAATCACATTGAGCAAAGCAAAAATTTTTTCATCATGATATAGGCTTCACTGGCATAGTGACTGTAAGTACCTGAAAGAAAAAAAAATAGTACAATAAAGTTATAATACTTGTTTTACGACACTCAAACTAAACTAGTTATCCATCATAAAATGACATATATATATATATATATATATATATATATATATATATATATATATATATATATATATATATATATATATATATATCTATATCTCTCTCTCTCTCAAAACCAACCCTTTTCAGTCTCACATGAGACACATAGACTTTATAATTTATACACAGCCGAGTACAGATAACTAAAATGTCTGGGATAGAAGAATGTGCTAGACACATCCATAATTCGGGTAAACCGATAAAACAAAAATTAAAACTAGACATTGACAGACCGGCCAACTTTTCATTGGCTGAAATCAGGGAAATTATCACTTTCCAAAGACAGAAATAGGGAAAAATGTGAGCAGAGATCATGTTTGCAAGTCAACCATTCTTCAGCTTTACCTCAGTTCCAAAAATTGATGTTGCAAAATCCTGCCAAACACTTGAAGATGTAAAAGCTATGAGTATCACTTAGCTTCATTAAAGCCAAAAAGACAATTGTTCAACAGCACAATAAATATATAGAAACAAGAAAGAAAAAGGAGCAGACTCCACACCAACAGAATCACATCAGACTTCACACATTCAAGAAAGAAAATAACTCTTCCTCTGTTGTTGAATTGATTGGGAAAAAGACGTCCTTATCAGGACCTCAGCAAATGCAGTCTGACTCGGAATTTTTCGATAAAATCAGGAAGCTTGGCAGGTAAGTATTGAAAAAAAATCAAGAGCAGTTTTTTGACATTATAATGACACTGTGTAAGAAGTCTACCCAACTTAGACAGTTAATTTCAACTTATATATGTATGTATCACATACACGCATGTATATAACAGATCTTAGTTTGTTGTTGCGACAATGAGTTATTACTTATTGTAATATCCTGCGCAAAAGTCGATAGGCGGGTGCATGTGTTGAAAAAGGTAGTTATGTCCAAAATGTCCAATGTACAAGTTCATTTTTTGTCACATTAATAGGTACAGCAGTCATTACTCAAACAATAAATAGGAACAATAATTCCACACAAAAAAGTTTCACCTTTGAGTTTTTATCGAACTGAGCTCCACTCTCTTCGTTTAGCAGATCGAAGGGTAGAAAGATGTCTAGATGGTAGACATGAGACCTGGTGGTCAAAACCAAATGGTCCTCACCAATGTCTAGTGTGAGCGACTGGGCAGTTTTCTGAGGAGAACATCCACACAATTGTTTAAAGACTCCAGTAAAAAAAAAAACCAGATACGTTGCAGTTCTTTTTAATGAGTTGCTGCATTCTTTAAAAATCAAACTTTTTTTCTCCACAAATGATCCAACAGATAATCAAGCTATTTCTTGCGCTACATAAAGTTTTAAAAAAGCTATACTATCAGATACAGACTTTCAAATTTCAAATTTCTGTTCTCTCCATTTTGTTAAGTGGTTTTTCCTCTGGAGTCTACATCTGATTTCATGTAACACTAATCCCAAAGTTTCACGATGGGACATGAGCCAACTGAATCATGACAGAATTAGGTTCAGAAGCCAGAAAGGCACAGGGAGATCGTTATTGCATCCCCCTCCGGAGGTCTGTTTAGTTTCAGTTTTTGTAAGAGTTCTACAGCACTTGCAACATAAACCATATAAGTGCAGAAGATTAGAGGCATACAGTAACATATAATGAAAACAAGGAGAGATAAGGACAATAGATGTTTGATAGGAACGAAGGAGCAAACCACACCAGAGCACCTGCCAACCATCCATGAAACCAGAAGGGCATAGGGAGATCTTAAACTTAAGCTAACTGCAGCATTCTCTAGAAGTTTGTTAGCTTTGTTTCAGTAAAGATAAATACATCAACACAATAAATGTCTTTTTGGAAAAGGGGGATTGAGTCTGTTGGCAGCATTTCTTTAAACGCTCTCATCATTAACTCAGAAGAGAACGTTTTTATTTATCCTAAGTGTTGTTGTTGGTGTTTACATGTACCACAAGAGAGAATTTATCTTAATACCGGTAATAAGTGACCATAACTCAGACCCTGTTTACAGCAGCCACCTGTCTATACCTGTCACTTTTCTCTGTGACCTTGAGTGACTGTTATGGACAGGATTGACAAAACTCAATAAAATATATGTATATATTTTCTCATGAGAGTTGAATTCACATGTCAATTATGCAAGGCACATGGCCTCACTATTAATATAAAACAACAGACAGCAGTTTGCTCTCATTTATAAAGCGTACCATATCTAAATACAGTAGGCCTACTTACAATATTGGGCAGGTGAATTTCGGCCACAAGAAACTCAGGATGACCCTCTGCAGGCTCCTGAAGGATAGTAAACTTGGGTTCTGGAGCCCTGTGATATAACAGACGTAGTGAGTAGAGCAGATTCTTTTTTTCCCCTTTTTTTTGGGGGGGGGGGGGAGGCACCATTCCACCAGTTGATGTCAGGTTGAACTACGAAAAGGACGACCACGTTTTGAACCCCTAACAGAGATATCTTCAACTTGGGCAATTTTGGGGGTTTTCATTGCTTTCCTACTGTTCGGCCCTATCCTATCTCCAGCAAAGATGAACGGAAAATTGGAAAATTGGAGGTCCCACTTCTTAAATCATCATACAAAATTGAAAAGACCTGTATCACTCCAACAATTCTTTCTAGTCCGGTGACTTTACTACAGTACTCAAGTCCAGTTTATACAAGCCAAGCCAGTACCCTGTGGAACCCATAGCCCAGGATAATAAGGTAGATAATAGCCATGAAATAAATTTAACTCTCTAAGCCTGGTTCCCCCCCCCCCCCCCCCCCCCCCCCACACAAGTTTAGTCCCGTTCTGGTGTTCACTTCGGTCTATCTGGTTCAGTCATTTTCATACATATATTACACAGTGTAAAGCCTATGAATATGGATGGCATTTTATATCTTCTCAAAGAACAGGAAGCTGCACGTCTCTGTTTCACAAGCATGAGCTTTTCAACTCATAATTTAGATGTTCAGAATTCAGAGGAAATCTAGTTCAGCTCTACTATGCAAAAAAATTATTTTAGAGATAGATGATAAATTCAGCAATCCAGCATCTTAAACAATGATGTAGTCTTTAGCATTCAAAACGGGAGTCAATCTCATATCTTACTAGTAAGCACTTGTCCCTGGCTAGGAGTCTATATCTTTTATTGTTGCATAAAAAGTGCCATTAGAAGCCACATTTCTATGACAACTACATTGCGAAAGTGCTTAACGACTGATTTCAGCGCCAGAGGAGGTTGACACTTGTGACTAGACATTCTGTGGCACAGCTATGAGATGCAAAATGGCAATAAACGGAAACAAATGCACCAGAAACATTAAATCTGTGAACATAATACTTGCTGATAAACAGGTGTTAAATTCTGCCTATAGCCTACTATGCATTACGTTTTCATCAGCGTCTCCTCATGATGATGCAATTCCTCGACTAAATTTCTCTTTTCTGGCTGGATCTCAGGCAGCTGATCCCCTTCCTCTCTGAAAAAAATCATACAAAATAATGAGTAATGAAATGTGAAATAGGACGATTTCAGGGACAATTTATTTCTATCACAATACCCATAAAAGTAATTCCATAAAAACAACGCTGTCAGTGAACTAAAAATATCTCATCTCTCTTGTATATTCCTACGTCTCATCTTACGAGTAGCCTTTTTCTAATGAACAACTTTATGACAAACTATTATCGACACAATTTGGACCATTTAATGGCACACTGCTTCAACCTCGCCTGCCGGGCCAACCAGGGTCGTGTAGGATACACTACAGCAGAAAGATGGAAGTACTCGAATAGGAACACACTTTTTTCAAAACAAGAAATCTGAGACAATATCTTGAATTCTTCACAGCTTTTAGCTTTGTATGAAGACCATTACACCTATTTTTACAACAAAATAAAACTTGTTTTTTTAAGAATATAAGTCTCGCTCCATTCGTATATTGTTCAACAGATCACTGCAGAATAAAAAGTATATGCCTCACACCAGTCAAAAGATAACTAACAATGAACTGTATCGTAATCTATTAGATGTCTTAGACATAACAACATTGTTATTAAATCAATCATTTGCAAAATAAAACAGATGAGACATCTACTTATACTTCATGATGCAAATATTAAATTATTTTGGTTCATGGATAAGCTGTTTACTGAGTCAGAAAGACTATGAAAACACTCCAATCACTTCTACTTCAACTTTAACCATAAAGTAAATACAGTCAACCTTTGTGATAATGAAAGTTAGCAGACAAAACTTTATATCTTGTTATAGTTATAGCTGCATCTTGCTACAGCCAGAATCCAGTTGGGGGGTGGCGGCACAGAAGAATGCATATTATTTCAGGAAATAATAAAGAAAACGAGATCTCTCTCCATTCACATTGTATTCTATTCTATCTTTAAATGGCTTCTCAGGCAAGCAAATTAAAAAGGAAAAATGTAAACATTGTAAAATCTGGCTCTTAATCACTGTGTTCTTAGGTAGAGACCATAGATTCTAGTATGCTGTTAAAAGAAGTGAACTTTCTAAAAAGGCAATAAAGAACAGTATCATTATTCCTCAGTTCTCATTTTTCCAGAAGTCATATTTAAGTGGATCCTTTTGTAGTTTTTTGGGGGGCCTCTACCCAGCAGCTCAGTTGACCAAGATTTGCAAAAATTGCTCAATTCTACTATACTAGACTCACCCTAACGATACAACAAAACAGGGGCCTGCCGTCACTTCCGGAGAAGGTGGCGCCAAGAACAAAATTAAGCTCAACGAATAGTATGACAACACTATGGTACAATGTTCCGCAGAATACTCGCATTATAGGCCTACTTATTATAAACCTACAAACTGTAGATCTGCAACATACACCTCTCTGTTTAGTTTTAATACAGATACAGAGACACCTACTTCCATGCGAGAAGAATAGATAAGTGTAGGAACAATCTTTTATATAATATAGAGATAATGATGCATAAATCTCTGAAGTCAACCTCTATCAATTTTCCTTTTAACTGCTCCCCCCGTGGAGAGCCATGCCCACTGCAACAAAACCAAACAAAGAAAAGAAAAAAAAACTTACCCAGACATTTCCATTATCACCGGCTTTGACTTAGTTCTTATATGCTGCTCCAACAGTGTTCCAACACTTCTGCGATTTTTTAAGAATACCCAGTCTGTACAAAGACATAAAAACATCCGTTGTGGCAAATTCAGATTAAATCTAAACAAAGCAAACATGTTATACAATGTGAATGATACACAACTGATCAGTGTACCATAAGCTACAATTGTTATTCCAAAACAAATTCTTTGATCTCATTAACAGACCCTGAGCCATTATATCCCTTTTTAACTAAAAGAAACAATGCTTATGCAAGAGACCTTTAATGATAATCTGAACTTTCACAAATGGAACATTTTGAAATATTACTCATTCAAAAAACTTCCAAGAACTTTGGCACAAAACAAAATAAAACAAATAATAATAATAATAATAATACAGTGGAATCCTGTTATAACGAGAGGGAGGGGACAGGTGCAAAATGTCCGTTGTAGCAGGATTCTCGCTATAAGGGATCCAGTAATAAATTCAAGGGAAATAATAAAGTAGTCCTAATCTATGAGTTTGGTATTCTGTTTTTTTCTCTTTCTCTTTTTGTTATCTGCCCTGACGATGATTTTGTTTCAGAATGACCTCTAAGTCTTACTTGATGAAAAATCAATTCAGGTTTCTTCCTCTAGCGCTAGCTATGTTGACTGCTCGGCGTTGGTGATCAGAAAGAAGGGGCTTTAGGCTCACTCGTCCGCTGTGTTGTCCCTCACCCCACCACACCATGTGGTGCATTCCGTCTGCTTGTGCACGGCACACATTCGCTCCATCCATCACATTGCTGTGACCTCTCCATCCCCGCATCGGAGAAGTGAGAGGCATGGTAGGCCCAGATAATCTAGACCAGGCCCAGGCTGGCGTATCATCAGTATCACGCGATGCGTTCTGCTCGTCTGCGCATGCCACACCCTCCCTACTCAGTCGCTCTGGCCTTCATTGTTGACACACATGGGCTCTCCCATTCTTTGTTTCACTAGATCACCAACAAGTTTCTCAACTGGCGAGGTTTTACATTATGTATAATTGGCCTATGCACTGTGCACAGCAGCAGCAATATTCCGTTATAACCGACGTGCATGTTTGTCTGATTGCGCTATAGCAGTATTTTATTTACAAAGGTAAAGAAGAGAAAAAAAAAGGGGGTTTTAGAATAGTGTCTTTATAACAGACTTCTCGTTATTTCAGGACTCATTATAAGTGGACTCCACTGTAGTCAGCATTTGTATAGCACAAGTTCCTGTTCAACAGCAAGCTCTATGCGCTTTACAAATATTATTACCCCAGCAGACCTGATAGCATTCTGAAACAATATCAACTTCCTGCAAAGCATATAGTGCGCTAAAACACTAACATACAGGCAAGATCTTTGGCTGTCTATGGCTGGGTACCCATTCCCACCTGAGTGAAGTGAGAAAAATTTGTGTTAAGTGCCTTTCCCAAAGACACAAGGTCGGGCCTGAAGCTGGTTCAAACCCACAACCTCATGATTACGAGTCCATTAGCTTAACCACTACACTACCGAAGCCATGCAAGAGACATTGCTTCTTTCATGATCAAAAGGTTGAACTATCTTCCCCGTCCCAGAATAAAACTCATGTCTTTTCCAGATGCCAATGAAAAGGATATCAGAGGTGTTATGTATGCACTAAGAATGTAACTGGAAGAAGTGATTCAACTTCTTTTCATTCCAAAATCAGTGTGAAGGCTTTTTTTTTTTTTTACGGATTCTGTGGTGTAGCAGTTAGATGCTAGAATACACGCAGAATACCCCAGTTCAATTCCTAAGTGGAGAGAAATTTTTTCAAGTATCTTGGTCTTTCTGCTGAGATGTTGTATCCTTCTAAACCCAGGCTAACCCGTAAGTACAACTCCTAAATGATTCAAATTGTTTCGATGGGGTGCAAAAGCACCAACATTAACAAAAAAATATATAAAATTTTCAGCCTTTTTTTTCTTGTGTGTTGAAAAATGTTCAAGAAACCAGTCACATGGTTAGAGCATAGCATCATCAATGTACATGTACAAGTTAAATCAAAGTGCTTCTACATTACAAAATTACAGTCAAACCTGTGTAAGACGGAATCACAAGGGAGCCAGAAAAAATTTCGTCTTAGACAGGGGATTTAGGGGGGGTGGGGTGGAGGGGGTTTCAAAGGGCCTGCGGATGGGATCAAGGGTCGCTTTTCCCGTCGGCAAGCAGTAGTCCAAACTTCACACCTTTCAACTGTTATCCTCTCTGATAATGACATGCGTCAGTCTTACTTATCTAATTACCACCAGCACTTGCATTTCACAGGATCACTGTTTGACCTATTAAAAAATAGAAACATTTGAACATCTCCTTTGCTTTCATCCTTAGCCCCATCCATCGGTGTAACAAGCACAGTCAACCAATGCCACCCCTCACTGCCATGTAACACACGATTCGAGGAACTCTTTTCTCCGCTGGCCGTACGATCAGGGTGGGAGGCATTGGTCAAACTAATTTCATACCCCTGGCTTCTGGTTACCCAGGAAAGTTTCTGCGGTGGCTAGCTACTCGAACACTTTCACTGACAGTGTGACACTCGTGAGATTTCACACCCACATTACCCTGACCATCTGCATCACTCAGGGCTCACATAGATGGGGTAACATCTATCCTAAAATTGCACCCTGCACCCTTTCCTCGCCCGGCGGCATGGCGTAAGATAGACCCTGTGGAACCAAACTTGCGAGTTTTGTTTCAAATCAGGGCTGAGTGGGAAAAGCATTTTCCGTTTTAGTAAGTAGCTTAGACGGGTAAAACCCTCGGAAGGAAGCGGATTTACCTTTCCGTTTCCGCGTTGGACAGGTTTCTGTTTTATACAGGTTATTACAGAGAAATATATCAAGGGGGGAGCAGGGAGAAACCGTTAAGACAGGTTTCCGTTTTACAAAGGTTTCCGTTAAGGCACGTTTGACTGAACATTTAATGAAAACAAGATGCAGGGATTCTTACCTCGTTTCAGTTGAATATCATACTTTCCCTCAATTCCCTCACACATAATGGTCAGGAAGAAGGTTTTAAAAAGTTCACTTTTCTCAATCTTCTTCATGAATTTAGGATGCACAATCACATCATATGCTGTGCACCCACCACCACCTGTAAAAACAGTGTTTTTACTAAATAATTTGTCCAACATAGCATTGATAAACATGACAAACACAAACCATGGACCACTAACATTTGTTTTGAATCCCTCTGTGTGAATTTTTTAAGCATAATTTGCGTAGGTGTATACCTTCAAAGTCCCTCCATTCGTAGACATTTCTGAGTTGTATAAAGTCCTTTAGAAGGAGATAGCTCTCGCAGAGCCTGTGTACTTTAATCGGGGTTCAGCTCTATGTAAATGTCATTTATTAGATTAGTGAAAGGGCATATCTGTTTATTATGGCAAGGATCTAACACCCTCATAAGGTTCTTTAAGTACCTCCAAATTAAGTCAGTCTATCTCCAACAGGACCAAGTCAAATCTATAAAAACGATCTGTTCTAGTTCTATTTGGGGGTCGAACCAGAGTCATCCACATCGTTGTCTAGCATGACACCATCCGAGATACTGATTCATCCTCTCTTGAGCAATTCCAAAACATATCATACAAGTAATACATAATACATTTCTTAAATCTTGTACTGAAGAGTCCAGCAACATGATTCCCTTTGGAGAAAGTTCTCAAAAACATTTTAAATAAATAATAATAGTTTTACCAGAAAAGTCAGAGACTTTTACCAATCTCTGCGTGTAGAAAATGTCCACAGTTTCAATGTCTAAAAAGAACGGTTGAAGAAGAATAAGAGACATTACTTTTATCAATCTCAGCATGAGGCTCGCCAATGCTCATTGGAATCCTAAACTGTGTAGGATCTTCAGAGTCAAGAACTTGCAGAAGTTCATCGTCTGTTAGATCTTTGGGTTCCGGTACCTAAATTTAAAAGATAAAAATTCATATTTTAAAGCAATATAATAAAGAACAAAAACATCACTCAAGAGTCGCAAGAGAAGTAAAGTCTTGACCACTTTCTACAGTTATGTTTTCATGTTCTAGATTAAATTTTGACAAATCCAAGAGCAAAGCAGATACCAAGATACTGAAATAGAGGTTTGTTCGTTTTGTTTTGTAAGTGTTTTACAGTGCTCACAACTGCATAAGGTCTTATGAGCGTGCGCAACACATTAAACATTTTTAGTTTGGTAGGAATTAAGTTTGAATTTTGCCTAGGTGGTGGCTGAAGCCTACTCTTATCGATTTTGGACCATCAAGGAATCTTTAATGTGCGCAACTCGCACAAGGGACCTCTGAGATTTTTCGCCCTTATCCGAGAAGGCTAGATGTTAAATCTTACCTACGCTAAGATGAGGCAGAAAAACAGCAGTAAGAAGGACCAAAGGAATAGCAGTAGAAAGGCTGTGAAAAGGGAAGGGGGCTGGAGGCAGAAAATGGAGACAAAAACAGATGACAGAACGTGGTAAGAGAGTAGGAAAAATAGGTTTTAAAAAATGTGGAGAAAACAAAACAAATAATATCAAATATAATGCAGTGGCCATTGTCAAAAAAATGTCTTTTAAAAACCAGATGCTTAACAGCTTGCTTTTTTAAAATAGCGTTATAAATTTTTTCTTGATCACCAGCTAGCAAAATTCATTGTTTGTTTTTAAATATCTGGACAAAATTAAAAACATTTGACTCAACTTACGTTTTCCGAGTGGCAAACATTAATGAACACTTTCTCTCCCGCAACAGTCCTTGTTTTCAAACACATACCTGGCAGGAAAAAACCATGACCAAAAGATAATATTCTTGTGAGTTAATTGAAAGCATATTATTATATCAACAACAGCCACTATAAGTGCTGGGACAAGGCAAAACTGAGAATCATTTTTAAAAACCTAAAGGTATACTATGTAGAAAAAAACTGGGATATATCACAAGAACAGAGGAACTGCCAAATTACTACCAATAGAGATCTTCTCTGTTTCTTTTAAAAGAACTAAAGCGAGGAAAGTGAGCTCAAGGTTTGGGGTACACATTTTGTCTTCAGATGAATCACTCAGAATGGGTGGGTAGCGATAGGAAGAGAGGTTCCATTTTCCAGTGTGACTTGTTCAGATCCAAGAACTGACAGAGCATGAAAAGATAAGAAATGTAGTAACTTGAAGTGCTGTTACCAAAAGTTTAAAAACAAAACAGGGTAGCAAGAATTACATATAAAGTGTAACAACGCGGAGGAATCAGGTGCTCTTCAACTTTTGGGCATGTGTGAAGTTATTTGATATATCATCTTAGAGCTTGTTCATTTGCCTTGCTTTTGATGGGGAAAAAAAGCCCATCTATCTTGAATAGAAGTTGAGATATATTTTTGCGATTGAAGGAGGTGGAGGTCGCCTGGTTTCAGAGGAAAAATCAGCAAGAGAATAATGGCCGTCAAAGTTTGGTATTTTCCATAGCCTGAGAGTCCTTTGAAACTGAAAATGTCAATTTTCTGTGCTTTTAAAGGATATTTCAGTAAAATCACCAAAGAAATGTGTTTTTAAATGGACATAAAATAGCAATGACCACGAAAATCCTTTTTTTGCCAGAAAGTGTTTGCAAATAGGTGCATTTTGTAGCTTTATCTTCACAGAGCATGGAACTTTTTGAATTTTTGAAATCCATCAATAAACAAAAAAGTTACGGATTTTTTAATCAATTAATTTCTGGTACACTTTTATATAATGAAAAACCCCAAAATATGGGACGTTCTTTGGTGAGTTTTGAGACAATATTCGTCATAACTCGCTCATTTCTTGGTGTATTTAAAAGAAACTTGGCAACCCAGTACATTTTCTAGTGCAGAATCTAGTCCTGCTTTCAGATTTTTCATAGCTATCCTATTTTTTTGAGTTATGAAGACGTTTATAGGTAAAAATGTGGCGGTTTTCGGTGCGTTTTGAGACAATATTTGTCATACCTCGCCTATTTCTTGGAATATGTAAATGAAACTTGACAGTCTAGTACATTTTTTAATGCAGAATCTAGTCATGCTGTCAGATTTTTAATATCTGTCATACTTTTTGAGTTGTAAAGACATTAACAGGTAAAAAAGTGGCGTTCTTTACAGATTTACAAAGATTATCAGTCATATGTTCTCCCAAAGTCATGATATTTGAATGAAACTAGGCAACATAAAAGGTTCCTCCTTGCCAAGCAATGCTCTGGATCAATTTGTCACAAAAATATAAGTAGAGAGCTACTAAAAAATCCAGTTCTGTACTAGTAAAAGCATGCATACTTTGTTATAGAAAATAAGATCGTCTCTGGGTATATCCATTGTTGGACAGTGTCCTATTGTGTGGTAGATTAAGATGCGTTCAGATAATATACTTTACAAGTCATGGGAATATATCGCATGTGTAGGCTACAACTCATACAATAAATGTAACATATTTACACCCCCCCCCCCCCTTCTCTCTCTCTCTCTCTCTCTCTCTCTCTCACGCGCACACACACACACACACACATGCACGCGCGCGCACTCACGCACGCACGCGTGAACGATAACAATGTATAAACGGGACTATCTTCCCAGACTGGACTAAATAAGTACCATACTCTTTAATAACAATCTTAATGCCTCACTTTTCCAAACAGAGCACACAGGACGAGTCCAAGTGTGTGCTTTCCCAAGAGGGGGGAATAGGCTTTCATAACACAAACACAATGCCATACCACTTCTCAAGATGTTTGCTTTTCTGTTTCTATTCTTCTGTCGTGCAATCAAGCAAATAAAAATGACTACATCTATTGTATTGTGACTAAAATGCAACAAAAACGCAAGTTATCAAGGCCCCCGTTTAGTTTTCAAGTATCCTTCCCCCCCTTTCCGGTTCACATAAGCGGGGCCTCGTTTGTAGCGCCCGAGGCCACCGATGGCTGATGACGTCACTCAGTGGAAATTTCCCAGCCGCAGGTCATTCACCCAGCACGCGCAAATGGCAATGTCACTTTTTCCCTTAGTTACTCCCACATTTTTAAAGATTACGCGAAAACCGCTAAACACAGAAGCTTGAAATTTTAAGGGAATTTAATAAAGAAAAATGGTGTACAACGTATCAGTCAGTTTGACAAATCATAGCTCTGAAAAATCTTCAAAGCGCGCCACATCAACCACTTTCGCAAACGTTTTCGACTGCTTCTAGGATGGGTACAATGTTGTCAAACTGTGTACTACGAGATTGACCTCTTTTCTGATTGGCTGCCAAGTTTCATTCATATCCATTCACGAGAAGCGGCGTGAGAGCAAGTTGAAGACAACAACCTTTGCGTTAGTGCGTCCCACGAAACACCGGCAGAACAAAACGCGCTCGGTGGGCATTGCTACATAAAAGGTGGTGAGCCAAGAAACCTAAATTCGATAAAAATAACCAAACTGGCCGCAAAATGTCAATTTTTTCAATTTCATTGTTTTGACGGGCGCCTGATTTCACAATAATGCCTCACGTATGACGAGATTGTGAACAACATTTTAAAATATTGAGACCAGAGTATGAACAACAGCAATAAAAATAAAATCACACTTCATTACCTGGAACAGGAGTGATGGCAATAAATGGCACTCCATCTGAAGTCTTTGTCTGCTTCATTTGGTTATCCAGTCCATCATTCTGATTATTCTGTCATAGAATAAAAAAGTATGGAATACGTTTTTGCCTTTGGTAAAAAATGATACAATCCATGTTGTCAGCAGGGTTGGGTTGATTTAAATCAGGTTGATTTAAATCAGTTGATTTTTTTGATTTAAATCAACTTGATTTTTTTGATAAAAATCAGTGATTTAAATCACTTTTTTAAAAATTTATTTTTATTCAGTTTTTACATATTTCAACATTCAGAATTCCCTTCCTTGGTTTCATAAAACAGATATAAGGTTAAGTAGACTAATATAATTCATGTTTAAAAGTCTGCTTTCCCACCTTTCACTGTAAAATAATACAGTATTCAATTTACTTTTTTTTCCATAATTGAAATCAGAGCTGGGTTGATTTTAATCAGTTGATTTTTTATATATTTCAATCAACTTGATTTTTAAAATAAAAATCAGTGATTTAAATCACCTTTTAACAAATGTATTCAGTTTTTACATATTTGAACATTCAGAATTCCTTTCCTTGGTTTTATTAAACATATAAGGTTTAGTAGACTAATATAATCATGCTTAAAAGTCTGCTTTCCCCCTGTCACTGTAAAATAATACAGTGTATTCAATTGACTTTTTTTTAATAATTGAAATCAGGGTTGGGTTGATTTAAACCAGGTCGATTAAAAAATTTTTTTAATCAACTTGATTAAAAAAATAAAACTCGGTGATTTAAATCATTTTTTAAAAATGTATTCTGTTTTTACATCTTTAAATATTCAGAATTCCTTTCCTTGGTTTTATAAAACAGTATATAAGGTTTAGTAGACTAATAAAATCATGCTTAAAAGTCTGCTTTCCCCCTGTCACTGTAAAATAATACAGCATTCAATTTACTTTTTTTTCATTATTGAAATTAACATTTTCTTTTTCTTTTTAGACAAACACAAGCGCGTGCACACACACACACACTGTAATAAAATGCAAGTTTATCTATGCATAATTACCCCCCCCCCCCCCACCCCTTCCTTTTAGACTGACATTTTCTTCATTTTTTGTCTGTAGCCATAATTCACTGAGATATATATATATATATATATATATATATGATATATATATATATATACTATTATATAGCAGATTAAGGCTTTCTTTTGAGGTTGCTTAATTTAATCATTAGTTAAATTAAGACAATGCATTTTGCACTAAAAGAACATACTTTTAGCAACCAAAAATCCCAAACTGTGTCGACATTTTTAAAAAAATCAAAAAAATCAAAAAAATCTGATTTAAATTTTAAAAATCATGATTTAAATTTTAAAAATCGATTTTTTTGATTTTTTTGAAAAAAAAATAAAAAATCACCAACCCTGGTTGTCAGTTCTGCCAGGGTAATTGTTGTAATTTATCCCATCTTTTCTTCCTTTTTTTTTTTGCCTATCTACTCTTCAATTTCAATGCCATCCAATTTATGGTCTGAAAATTGCAATGTCTAAAATAGAAACATATTTGTTCATTGTTAGCAAAAACACAATAACTCCGTTCACGCTAAACAAAATTTTTGATGTCAGGCAACCGTTGTCAAACAAAAGAAATAAAACCCGGCATGAAAACTGACGATCGAATTGAACAAACTGATACTGACGCTGACGGAGAACAGCTCGTTCGGCTTGTATTCTCAATCGCAGTTGTTGAGATTCCAGACTTCGCACATTGTGACCCCATCACAAAGTCAGTCTACGAGTCCTAGATACAGATCTAGATTTTCGTCTTTTCGCCATCGGACAAGTGGCAAAGTGGGGTGATTACAATGAAAATAAAAGAAGCCTGTGGCAATGTGTACGGCCCTCTCGTATGCACAGTCTCAGGGTGACACGTGCGGCCCTCCCTACGTACGGCACGGCCCTCTAAGTATAAATATGCTCACAGCCTTAATAATCGCTCAGCTGGACCACGTCACTTTATCGATCGATATCTTGGCCAAGAGAAACTCTACAAGGTCAACATAACTTGCAAAGTCATTGGTCACTATTTATAACTTTGACCTTACACCTCATTTTCCATATGAGAAATACTTTTAAGGCCTGTGTGCTTCGTTGTCGAAGTAGGTCAGCCCTATATATATAGGGCCTGCACGCTTCCCGGGTAGCCCGGCTCACACCCTTTATACAGGGTCTGAGTACTTCCAGGGTTAAGTTTATCCACTTGTAGTGTCTGGTTCGATAGTTTATGTGCCGCCTACAAAGCCTAGCATATAATGTGAAGTGGAGGGCCGTACACATAGCCTCGATGCTATGCGCACAGGAAGGCCCTACGCATAGCCACAGGGCTATGCATACAGGAGCCGTACACATATATATATGCATTTCGATAAATGAAACGGATGATACTGTTAGCTGTGAAAAGGTAAAATAACAATTTATAGTAAATTGACTGCAGTGCAGCCCTCAAGAAAATCTTTAATATTACCCAACCTACATTCAGGGAGCCTTGAACGCAGCCTGCAAACTACATTCACGGCCGGCACAGTGAACATAGTCACAGCGTAGCAAAAATGCACCTTCTTGCAAAGCAATGGCTACAATAGTGTCAGGTGTCAGTAGAAACAGGAGGAGCAAGGGGGGGGAAGAAGAGGAGAAAAAGACAAAAGTTATAAAAGTCCAAAAGCTGATGGCGGTGTAGACAGGACTGGCATATTCTTCCATTCATCAAGCTTAAAAAATTAACTAGACCTAAGTAGTAGGGAAGTCGGTAATTGTTTACTTTCTCGCGTTTAATTCTGGGGGAGGACTTCCGTAACGAGTGACCACTCTGAACTCAATGAATAGGCCCCCTATTTACACTCAATTGTCAATAGCCACAAACAAAATCAGTAAGTTCAGTAAGGAAGGCAGTGTTAATACCTACAAATGATGAAATTGCCGTGGTTTACGTATTCTTAACTCCAGGCTTGAATATCCAGTCAGGGGTGCATACAGTATCGTCTAGACCTAGATTTAGGCGCGGCCATTAAACGCGAGAAAGTAAACAATTGCCGGAAAGTCGATTAGCCGGTGAAAGTGAAAGTAAAGGTAGACGTAGTCAGTTGAGCAGCGTAGCATGATGAATGAACGGCTTCCCACTCACAGAGTTCAGCAAGAGGTTCTTGATGAATGCATCAGATAGGGAGTTATCTGAGCTAGGATCGCCTATGCTTTCCATTTCCAAATAAGCAGTAGATCTAGATATATAGTATAAAAATGCGAAGAATAAAGTAAGTCAGACGTCGACTATCTCTGTTTCATGAAGGAATCATGTCGTGAGACACCATCGTCCATACTACTTCCGGTGACGCTCATTAGCTCCCCTCATAGAAACGTCTCAGCCAGTTTTTGTGTCCGCCGTAGGCTAAATAATAAAAGACAAGTTCCCCACCTCAGTGGGGATAGGGGGGTAATAAATGTTATACCAATTGTTTGTGTTGTGTTGAAAAAAAATTAAGTATATATTTTAATACCTTATTGTATAAAATCATTGAACTGAGTCTAAATAACTGCTTTTAAAAAATTGTTTTCTATTTAAACTTGTGATAAAGCTTCTCTGGCAATATCAAAATGAGGAAGGGTTCTTTGCCAGGGGAGATCAAGCGTATTATTTGACCCATGTCAAGTATTGTCAAGTTGTATGACCTTACAAACTTTGACCTTTTCAAAGGCTGCTGCTTGGCTTCTTGCTGCTTCCAAGGGTGCCTGAAGCTCTTCCACTTGTTTTTGTATTGTTGGTGATGAGCAAACAGTTTTGAAAGCTCAAACAAATGGCAGGTTCAGCTGGCGTTGGCATACTAGCTTCCGATGAATTATGTTACGGTTCGGCTGCGGAAAGCGAAAGTGTAGCACGGGTATGTATAAATTATAAATAACCATAACTGATAATAACTGTATATAGATCTAGATCTAGAACAGGAAAATATTGAAAAATGAGCAGTTATTTACATTCATTCTATAATATTTGTACATTTGGATCATAACCTCCGATATTGAAAAAAATAATTTTTTAAAATAATTTTGAAAAAAGGATCCCAAACAAACAAAAAACACTCGTATTTTATATGGAATTATTCAGAATTGCATTTGGAATAAACCATTACATGTTTTGGGTGGTACTTTTGGAGAAAATTCACCAAAAAGTAGTGATTTTGGGGAGAAAAAAAATATTTTGACTGTTTAGATCTAGGCTTAGATCTAGCACTCAAAAATACTGATTTCTCAATTACAGTGCCTTGGCAATTTGGTCCAGTAGTATCAATATTATAAAGAAGAGTCCTACATTTCTTTAATGAGCAAAATAATGATACATTTTGTTGTGTAAAAGTACTAAGACTGGTGTCTGGGCTATAATTTGGGCTTCGCGATTAAACAATGTCGCATAAACTTCGAAATCGTGTTTCAAAACTGAATCAAAACTTCCGATTTTCGGTGGAAACGCTTGACCCGGAAGTCAACTTTATATTATGACCTTTATTTTAACATGGATATGTGGATTGGAATAGAAACCAAGCTAAAGTTGAACGTCGGTTCTCGAGCCGCCGGGGGCGGCTTAGCGTACTGACGGCACTTTAGCCGCGCAGCCCCCCACGGCTCGGCGTAGCGAATGAGTTAAAACTGGACAATGTCAACATAGTTGAATTGGGGTCCATTTCGACTGCTGGGCTATGATCATTAATGGTTGGCATGGGCTGCTCTCTTTTAAAAAATGGACATAATGACCTAGGCCCAAGGTGACTTTACTTTTCTTTTATAGTGGCTGGGACTGTACAGTTGAACTCGAATTCAACGAGGTCGCCGGGCCTGACCTAAAATCTCGTTGAATCCAAGTGTTCATTGTATATATATAGCAAACATGAGGTTTTGTGTAGACCTAAATAATTACAGGCCCTGGGCAAGTAATAAAGAGAAGTAACAAGTAATGCCTGGAATGCCTGCTTATATTATGAGCTGTTTTTAAAAAAAGACATTATATTACGTTCTAAGGCACGCCTGTGTCATCTCTGTTGTTTGCCAAAAAGTTGTGTTGCTGTGTAACTTTTGATTCCATAAACCAGCGCACAATTCATTACGTAGATCTACGTCAAGACTAGCTTATCATTGTAATCATGATTTGATCTGTTGCTTGGGGGGGAAGGGGAGGGGGCTGTGATGCTTTTTGTCTTCGACGTTCCATCCTGGACCGATGGCTCCCGGACACTCACACACACACACACAGTCACCATCCTGACACTCACCAGAGTAGACACATGTGCATGCGAACTACGCTTGTGTTGGTATGAAAGATGGCCGTTGATTGGTCGCATGCTATCGGATTAGTGAATAATGGTTCACGATGGCAGGTACAATGGATGGTTTGTGGGAATAAAATCTAGATAAAGTTTGTTGTGGGAGAAAAATTAGTGAAGCCATGTCTAAATAAATGTCAACACCCTTTGTGACTTGACGAGGACTTTAATAATCAAGCACAATGAAGACATACGTCAGACGATGCATGACTGGGACAGAAACGGAACAGAAATAAAGCAGATGAATATGATTGACAAATAAGGGAAATAATAATAATGGACACAAGGAACAGATACGAATGATGGCACATACATATAGTCTTGTAGCTACTGAATGAATTCCTCTACGCCCCCCCCTCCAAGTCTTTGGAGTGGAACAGAAAAGACTGATGTAATTATGTCAAGAAATACTGGTGATATAACAAGGAACATCATAACGAGAGATAGGAACAATGGTAATGTCTGCTTGGACCTATGAAAAGAAACTAAGAGAGCAAATGATAGATCAATGAGTGTCAGAATCAGATTTGGATTTAGAGTCAATTGGCTTGGGGCTCTGTCTGGCCAATAGTCTTGCTGATCGCCGAGGGCCGCCTGGAGGCGTGCTCACGCTTATGGGAACATCTTGCTCTTGTATGCCAGGGGCGTTGTGCTGCTGGAGCACATGTAGAGCACGCGGGGGGGCTTGAGCCTGAGGTTGTAGAACCACCGTCTCGACAGCAGGGCGTGGATCAGGCGCTAATTCTTGCCCGGATTCGGGGACAGTAGGCATCGGTGGATCGTGTGCTTGGGGGTCCTGAATGCCAGCTGGTTGTGGTAGATCCGGGCAAGGAGAGGGCGACGAGGTCACGCTGGACTTGGTATGCTCGGGGGGGGTGAATATTCTGAGGCGCTGGCTGTGGTGGTGAGGTGCCACCCGGGATCATCGTCAGTGGTGAGCACGGGACCACAGGCATGTAGTTGCGGAGGAACTTTCTGTTGCGAAGGGTGACGCGGCCAGAGCCATCCTCTCAAACGACGTACTAGTCAAATTGATGTACTTCCACTACAATGCCCGTCTTGTCCCATTTGGTCGGGTGGGTTCCCGTTTGGTTCTGTATGCGCACACAGTCACCGACGACGAGTGGAGGTAAGATGCGAGTGTGCTCAGAGAGGCGCTCAGCGGTGCGCATGTGCTGGTTCCTCAGTGCCTCCTCTCGCGACAGAAGGGTTTCATGCCAGGTACTGTGAGGCTGATACTTCCTTGGGTGGATGGGGATGAAGTCCCGTATTGGACGTCCAAACATACTCATCGCTGGGGATAGGTGGGTGTCACGGTCAGGAGTGTTCCTGTATTGCAGCATTGCGCGCTGGAACTTATCAGTGTTTAAAGATCCTTGTGCACCCGTGTTGTCAGTGATCAACCGTTTCACTGTCTTTACTCCAACTTCAGCGCGACAATTAGAGTGAGGAAAGGCGACTGAAGAGATCCTGTGGTGGACACCCCAGTTGCGAAGGAAGGTGGAGGTTGCCAGGGACGTGAACTCCGGGCCTCCGTCCGATGTCAGTTCATCACTGATGCCATACGTGACAAAGATGCGACGCAACGCGGCAACGAGGCCGGCGGATCCATGGGAGGCTTTTTCAACGATAGGCCAGTTACTGTACCTGTCGACTGCAACTAGGTAGCTGTGGCCTCGATGATGAAAATAATCTGCCACAATACATTGGAATGGGTATGCCGGTGCTATTGGAGAGATGGGAGGTGCACTCGGCTGGAAAGGTGCCATGCGGTTGCATGACTGACAGTGGGCCCGCACTTCAGTGATGGCCGGGGTTATGCCGGGCCAGAAAAACGAGGCCTCAGCTCGAGAGCACATTTGGGACACACCCTGGTGAGCAGAGTGTAAGGACTGGAGGACTCGCTCACGGAGCGGCGGGGGTATAACTACCCAGTCGTGGTACAGGATGACACCATCAAATGTCGTGAGGAACTCCCGGAATTGATGGTATGGGCG